AATCTTCAAAAAGTGCTCAAACTTCACATGTGTGCTATCAGTCCAGCCGTGAAGACATCTACGAGACAGTTTTGAGATTTCTTCAAAATGTTGTTGCCATGGCAACACAATGCTAACCATGAAACACGGTTTTCTCATAACTTCAGTGAAAATGCTCCAAATGGCCCAAAACTTCACAGGTTTGGTAACGATGCAGCCATCAATGCATCTAAGCGTATTATGGGATGTCATCAAATGCCGTTGGCATCAAGTTAGTTCAAAAGTTTGCAGTTCAAATATTCTGCTGCTTTTCCAAGCCTTTTTACTTTATTTTCTTCTCTCATCACACATTCAAGCCCCCAGTGTTCATGCATCATCTCAATCTAAATTCTTCACTTTCTTCTTACACATTACATTTCAGCATAGCAGTTTAGCGTCAGCTTTTCAGCATAAAGCATTCCCACTAGCAATTTATTCAGGAATTGCATTTTCTAGTTTACTTTGCAGCTCATGGCTTAAAACAGAAGCTTCAGATTGCTTATAAAAAGATTTGTCATGCAAATAAGTGATTAGGATTTTCATGTGAACTGTTACGGACTCTGTTTTCTATCTGCTCAGTCATCTGTCTGTGAGTGTTCAGGGGGGTGTGTAGGACATGTAAATGATATGTGCGGTAGCCCTGACAACATTGGCTGCCCATTTCCTGGTCCGCCTCCTGAAGATGGTGATTGGAGCATGCCGGGCCGGACGCGCTCCAATCGCAGCGCACAGCCGGCGCACACCTGCTGCAGATGGTTACAAAGCCGGATGACAACTATCACTCTGGAGGCTCTGTGTTGTGAGACAGACGCCTCTAGCCTCTTGCTGTGAATCCTCTGTGTTTGTTATAGGCCTACTGCTTAGCAGGGTGTTAAGTGTTCTGTGTTTAGTGAAGTGTGTTAGCTTAGATCCAGGTTAGTTTAGCGCCTGTTGACCAGCAGCAGCTGTGTTTTTGAACAGCCTTTTCATTTACACTTGTACCACGTTTAACGTGAGGGTTTTGTTTTCCCTTTTATTTAATTGTTACTCTGTATGAGCTGCCAAACTCCCTTTTGGAGTCGTCTTTTGTTTGTCCATAGTTAAGTCGGCACCGTTTGCCCTTTTGTTTGTATCAGGCAGGCTTTGTCTGCCATTTTGTTTTACACTGGTTTATAATAAAGCCACTTATAATTATTATCAATCCCACTCTGGTTGTGTTGCTTCCCTTTGGTTCCCCTAGCCCAGTAGGGAACGTAATGAACTAAGATTAGTTTGAAAATGTTTCTAACTTTAATTGATTGAATTTATTTGAAAAGTGGGCATACATGAATTCGGTGATATATGTACATATATATTTAATCAGTACAATATATGACGAGCACAAGTTTCATTTGTGGGCCATATTTCATTATAATTATTACTTTTCCTGAGGACCGATTAAAAATGGACCGCGGGCCGCATTTGGCCCCCGGGCCGTAGTTTGGACACCCCTGTTCTAGATGCTGTATCATAAGTGAAGTGGTGTTTTACACTTTTTATTGACATTTTATGGAGCAAATTAAAAATAAAGAATGTGAATGCATAACACTCTACGCCACCAACAATGACACGTTGTGATGAAGAATGCCTTATTATATGCATAATTAGATGCATTAGATGCATCAATATGTAATTAGCTGTACATAACAATGATAACTTATGATATTGCATGCAATATTAAAGCATCCTATGAGTCTTTAATAGTTAAGTTGATTGTTGACGTGCGTATAGGTGAGTGAAGGTAGTCATGATGTATTATAACTAAGCCCAATCAGTCAACTTCTACATTTAAGTCACTATTAGGCGCTTTCACACCGCAGTACTTTTCCCACAAAAGTTCATCAGAATTAATTTAGTTCATGAGAACTCTTTAGTTCTCATGAACTAAGAACAGATCGCGTTCACACCGGAATAAGTCCCTGGGGGAGGATTAGGCAAATGAAGCCACTGACGTCACTTTTTCTTCTTCTGCTTTGGGTTTACTGGCAGGCCGCAAACAACTTCACGGCGCATACTGCCACCCGAAGTCCCCGGAGTTGGGGACTGGCTTCAGTAGAAGCTGCTGGGTTCTCATTGTCACTACCCGATCTGCAGCTCTGCCCGATCTGCAGTGCCCATGTGCGAAATGGTCCGCCATATTGGACAACTCCAGACGGCAACCCAAGTAGGACAACATTGACACAGTGGCTTTTGGCAAAGCTGAAAAATAAAACAAGAGGTGAGTTATTGTTATTACAACGTGACTTCACTATTATTTAACAACTCTTTTTATTGGGTTCTTTTATTTGGGGTTAAGTACATTGTCAGAATAAGTGAGAAATGGATTTAACTTCTGTCAGACAGATATCATACTGAATACATATTTACTGTGAATGTGTGCAAAAATGTATGGCATATCAGAAGTTACATTTATTTCTCATTTATTCTGACAATGTACTTAACCCCAAATAAAAGAACCCAATAAAAAGAGTTGTTAAATAATAGTGAAGTCACGTTGTAATAACAATAGCTCATCTCTCTCGAGTTTTCCTTTTGAGCTTTGCCAAAAGCCACTGTGTCAATGTTGTCCTACTTGGGATGCCGTACAGAGTTGTCCAATATGGCGGACCATCTCGCACATGCGCACTGCAGATCGGGCAGAGCTGCAGATCGGGTAGTGACACTCATTAACCAATTTTATTTCCGGCTCTTTTTGGTGTGAACGCGACATTTCGGAACTATATCTGAACTAAAGTGGGAAAAGTACTGCGGTGTGAACGCGCCATTGTGCCTGACTCTTGATAAAATGCATCAGAAAGCCTTATTTGTCTTTAGAGTCAACAGGTTTTATGCAGTTAATTAATTTTAATTCACTCTAAAATATAATGCAATATAGACTTGCTCTTTATAGAAAGTGCTACAAGTTATTTACAAGTGTGTTTGTTTTTATATTACTTTTTCGATGGTATTTTTTATATGGAATATTTTTGTTTTCATTTAGGGTTTTAGTTTATGGGTTTGTATTTCCTATGTAACAACCACTGTTGTTTCCATGTTTTATAAACCTTGGATAGCCATCAGATGGCGCTAATCTGTAACTGTAACATCCACATTGCCTTTGTTTTTAGTGCATTTGTAGGTGTTCCTGCAAGAGCTGTCTGAGGTATTTTGTATCCTGTTTAAAAAAAAAACTTTTTAAAGCTCGCAAACACCTCCAGGCCAATCAGTATATTTTTCAGCCCTGAGGTTAAGCTGCCCTGAATTGCAAAGCCACATTAGTAACACCAACAGAGCAGAAATCTCATCACATGACTGAACAAAAAGACAAAAGCAAACAACCTGACAAACACTGACATTTCACAAAACAAAGAACACAATGATTTTACACAAAACAAATGAACCTATAGGCAAGACCTGTACACACACAGGAGGAAACACACATTTAAACCTGCAAACATGGAGTGTTAGGGACGGGTCGGGGGGGCGCTAAGCTAATGACTGTGTTATGGCCTTTGACATCTGTTTTGCAGATTCAAATGAAACCTACAACAGCTTGGGTAAACTTTGAACCATTGACCAATAGCAATGCTAACCTTACAAGAAACAGAGAGCCACAGAGTCAAAATGGAGCTTATAACAGTGCAATATCTACCTTTATTTAACTGCTCTCTGGCCGGTAAACTTATATAACTGTGTCTTTTAAATCAACTTTAACAAGCAAAATTCCCTATGCAATAACTGAATAAACTAATATTTCCAAAAATAAGCAAATATGACTTAAAAGAAAATGAGAAGAAACATCTATCCACAGAAAACGCGTTGTCTTATAATGCCTAGGCACTGGCAAGTTGTCTTCCTGAACATGACATGCTCACTTTTGCATTTAAGACAATAAGAGTATTTTTTATTCAGCAGTGATATAATTACAATGAGTTATTATTCATTATGCATATTTCTCAATGCAATCTTAATCTGATTCATTTGCACGACTGATAAGATATTGTCAGTTATCTTTGAACTGCATATGTATAGAGAGTTATAACATCTATAGGCAATAATACATTTTCAAATCAAATCAAGTTTTATTTATATAGCACATTTTAAAAAGATTTTTGGGCGAGCCAAAGTGCTGTACATGCAATAAAAACACTTGCTACTACAATAGCAAACAGAAGACAATAAATTACAACAGCAAAAATAAATAAAAATCAAACACAGGGAAACGTCAGGAGTCGTGCTCCGCTCTGACTAGAAGGCCAGAGAGACGAAGTGAGTCTTAAGTGTCGATTTAAAAACCCCTAGTGCCTAGTGGGCCGTCCTCACATGGAGGGGTAGAGTGTTCCAGAGCCTAGGGCCAGCTGCTGCGAAGGCTCGGTGCCCTCTGGTTTTGAGCCTGGTCTTGGCTGGGGTGTAGCGATGGATGAGTTCTGCTAAATAAGCCGGAGCCAGCCCATTTAGGGGTTTGAAAACAAATAAAATAAGTTTAAAATAAATTCTGAACCGAATTGGAAGCCAGTGTCGTGAGGCCAGAATTGGGGTGATGTGGTCACGCTTTTTATGGCCAGTGAGAAGACGTGCAGCTGCGTTTTGGACTAGCTACAGGCGTCTAATTGACGCCTGGTCCATACCCACATACAGAGCGTTGCAGTAATCCAGTCTCGAGGTAACAAAGGCATTAATCACTCTTTCTAGGTCTTTAAAAGATAAAAACGACTTGCTCTTGGCCAATAGTCGTATTTAAAAAATGCAGGTCTTGACTACGGTGCTAACCTGCTTATCAAATGTAAAAGCGCTATTGAAGGTCACTCCAAGGTTCATGACAGAGGGGAGGATGTCTTTGTTGAGGGAGCCCAGAATTTCAACCGGGGAGGTTGGGGTCCAAAAAATATTGTTTTGTGAGAATTGAACCTAGGAGCAGTAGAAAAACGATGGGGCCCAGAATCGAGCCTTGGGGAACCCCACAGGTAAGAGGGGCTTGGCAGAGGAGAAGGCACCTAGCTGCACTGAGAAGCTACAGTCTGTCAGGTAGGACCTGAACCATGCAAGGGCAGAGCCTGTGATGCAGATCATTCAAAACTCTTAAAAGGGCTGTTTCAGTGCTGTGCATGGGTTTGAAGCCAGACTGAAACTTTTCATGAATGCCATGCGTGGTTAAGAAAGACTGCAGCTGGGCATAGACTACTCACTCCAGGGCTTTAGATAAAAAAGGTAGCTGGGAGATGGGCCAGAAGATGAACAGAGCTGTAAATATCAGTTATTGAAACTGGTAGTCATCACTTTCTGAGAGGAAGGGTCTTTGCTTGAGGAGTTATCATCAGTTCGAGGCTTGCAGGTCAAAGCTACGGACCATAGGAACATAAACAAACCTGAGAAGGAGAAAGAAAAGGCTTAATATACTGTTAAAAGCACAATGGATACTTTATATGAAGATCTGCAAATACTGACCCTGCAAGGAGTTTAGTATGGTGAACAGGTAGATCCCAGAGAGGGAGATGTAGGTGGTCCCAGCTAACCCCCAGGGTAAGCCCAGCACACAGCTGAGGCCCAGCACCGTGGCACAGTCCTTCCATAACCTAATCCCTTTCTCTCTGTGCATCTTCTTCCAGCCACTGCTGCCTCCGCCCGCCCTCAGCCTCCACAGCTTAAACACCACCAACCCCAGCATGCAGAAATTACACAGTATAACCAGGCAAGGGAAGGCCATGGTAGTGACGTAGCTGACTAAAGGCATCTGTGGGAACTGGCTGCTCATCCAGCATCTGCAAGTTAATAAAAAAAGAAAATCAATTATTTCCAAATAACGTGTTGAGAATAAAAACGTGTTGCTTCCAACCTCCCGCGTGGTTAAATATTTAATATCACAAAATCTTGGTTTCTTACATCTGTGATGTTGTATTGGGGTTGGTGGCATCAATTATTTTCAAAGTGTATTTGCCGTAAACACCTGAAATCCCACAAACCCCTGCAATCAGTGTAGGAATACCTGCATAAAGACACAACAAATACAGAAGTTACTTCAACAAACCCTGACAACAGCACACATGCAGAAGAACAGAACACACCTCCTTTTGGATTCATGTTCATGAGATTTTTGTCAGTCAAAATACAAAAGAATATGTATAAAGAATTCACATGTTATTAATAAGGAATTGTTGCATTTTCCTGCTCTGAAAAGGGGCTGGGTTATGGATCTAAGATGTGAGTTCTTGAGAAGAGCTCAGTCTATCTCCAACAATGTCTCACTGAATCTATCTCAGTTGAAAACATGCAGTCTCATGAACTGCCAATAGGTGGTGGTGGATTGGGCAGAAATGCTCATCTAAAAAGAGGTTCATGTTTTGGAAATGTTATACTGTTGAAAGGTTTTGGAAAGAGGTTCTCCAGAGAATTTGCCTTACACTGTACTCTATAAGAGGGGTTTTAGCAAGATTGTGTAATGAACAACATCATAAGCCGAGATATTTAGCTGTTGCCAAAGATTGATTTGAAGATATACCAGGTACACAGAAATATGACTATACACTATACAGTATATGCTAGTATTTACAGATCATTAGCTGTTTACAGAGAGTATTTTGATTTAGCAGTTTTTTTGTACTTATTCACTTCAGTATTGTTCCTTGGACCGTATTTTTGCTGCCCTCTGGCTTTGTAGTACCAAATGGAACAATATAAAAACTGGTGTTCCCCTTAGTCCCTTACACTCAAAAAATTGAACATACGGTTTCAGCCTTAATACCAAATTCAACTTTCAGACGACAGAAACACAGACTCACCCCATCCAACCAGGCTGAGCTTCAGCAGGTATCTCCTGACGTAGATGTTGAAGACGCGGACCAAGAGGAGATAGAGGTGGAATCCTTCCAGAGCCATCCAGCAAACAGTGGCCAGCAGCGACCAGTGTAAGAAGAGACCCAGACCCCCGCACACCCAGCCCTCCTCACCCTCCTTCAGCTGCCACACCCAGAAGCTGCCCAGCAGGAAGCTGAGGTGGAGGCAGAGCAGTGCTACTGAGAGTTGCAAATGCACACCGATAGCCTTCTCAGGACGCTGTCGTCTGAAAGAAAACAGAATTCAGTTTGTTACAATCATTTTTATACTGCCTATTTAGCAGATACAGTACCATGTTTTCAGCTATTTCTGGAGTATGTCTGCTATCGGCCAAATGATGCTAAGCCTCTATAGGGTTAAGGGACAATGTCTTCTTGGATCAAAGGTATGCCAGCTGGTATCCAGGCCAAGACTTCCTCTTTTAAGTGCTTAGTTCATTATTTCTTGTCCGATTAGCAACTCCAGATGCAAGAATGGAGTTCAGAGGAGATCTCTGCGACCCCACTGTTTAACAAGCAGCCGGTATCCAAGCTAATTTGAACAGAAAGCTCAATTGTCTTGTATTAAAGCCCAAGGACTCTGAGATTTCCTTTTTCATTGTACGTGATTGGTGAATAATACTCAGACTTCAAATGGAAACAAGATGGCTCCAATACAATAAACTTGTCCCGGGTTAGGGGTATACTCAAGACAAACTAGTTCCATTTATAAATGCACACACCTTCCTGAAGGCCCTGTAGTGTTGCAGTCTGTTTTCTGTACAGACAAAAAAGTGTCTGAATAGTTGTTTTAGTAAAGATATCTTGAAAGACAGAAGCTTTATTTTCATATAGTCGTCTTTAAGAGATACTGATATGGCCTGATACATCTGACGCACATCTCCCAGTTCTTAGGTGATAAAGGTAGGGGGTTTCAAATGCTGTTCACCCATCCCACAAGCAAAGTTAATCCCTAGTTATGGGCCCACATTGAACAGATAGCCTACTGCTGTTGTTTTTTTAATTTAAAGGTCACCTATCATGTTATTTTTAGGCAATAGCATAGGTACTTCTACTTTTACTTAAGTACACCAGCTGAGTACTTCTTCCACCTCTGAAACTTGCAGAGCACTTCTAACCTATAACATATAAAACATTTGTACTTCTACAAACGTCATTCTGTTTCCTAACAGGAACTTTGATAAACCACAGAGATTATTTAACCCACTCACAGCACATTTCTGCAGCCAATAACACCCATCTGTACCACGAGAGGAACACACTGCCTCACTTAAAGTCTCAGTTGTTTAGCTGGCAGCCCTCGACTTTTACATTCATCCTCGCTGTGTCACAGTATGGACTTCAGTGACTGAAAAGCTACTGTTTCCTACTTGACTCCAACACTGGCTCATGGCGCATTTCCACTGCAGCGGGTAGCCCCGTTTAAGCGTCCTTAACCGTCCTCAAGCGGCCAGGCCAGTTTTTGGTGGCCTTTCCATATAGCCTAGTACCGGCTAGCGGGAACTTTTTCCCTCTTTTTCCGGCCCCATAAAATGGTGGTTCCCTCAGACCAGGGCCAGGGCTGAACTAGTGACGTCAACACTCTCGACTGCTGATTGGTCAGAGAGAATCGTCACAAGATCGCGTGCGAGTTCATCCCTAGCGTCGCATATGTATCTAGAAGCAAGCTTGCAGCATTTTTATAAACAGCATTTTGTAAACGGATGAGCTACAAAAATGGCTACGTCTAATAAGAAAAGCACACCGTAGTCGACCGAGGAGGTGACGACGTTCCTACATCTCATTGGGGATGATCAAATCCAGCGGGAGCTCGACGGAACAACTCGAAATGTGAACAAAAACAAAGCCGATCGCCCCGCCTACACTGCGTTGCTACCCCAGGTCCTAAACTGTAATGGAAATGCGCCACGGCCTCGGACGGCCAGCGAGGCAGCCCGAGGCCTGAGCGAGGACGCTTAGGGACGCTTAAACGGGGCTACCCCGTTGCAGTGGAAATGCGCCATATAAAACTCTCTGTATCTCTGCACAATTCAAACCATTTGTTGAATTTATAACTTATGATCACATCCACTTTGCACACCTTACTTATGTCTCCATTGTTTGCATGCACATGTTTAAAGGTCATACTTTCTATTGTATTGTATCTGTATTAATGAATTACATTTAGCATCTCTGGTAAAGTGTGTATTATTACCAGAGTATTGCTTTAGTTGACAGAAAGTACAAGTGTCATGTTTTACTTTCTTTTATTATACTATAACCTACAGAAAAGTGATGTAAATGATCATTTTAAGTGAAAAAACAACTCACTGTAGACATATATAGATGATCAGGCTGATGATGGTGAAGAAGATGGAGAGTGCTGAACCAATGTAGGTGATGTTGCTCAGGATCACAGCACTGCGTTTAGACTGTACTGATAGTGCTGGGTTCTGGAACAAAGAAAATGTCAATAAAGTCAAATGATTGTATTTTAAGTTCAGGAGTCGCATGGAAGCTTCTTGAGTAAATACTGTATATTGTAAACATATGAAATATTAAGATTAAGTTCTCGCAAAAACACTACCAATGAGGCCCATGCACACATTATATACAAGCATTTGCAATCATCGACATAGTATTGTAGTAATACATCATACATTATAATGTAATATAATGCATTCTAATCACATGCAATATTGAGCATAATCATATTGGAAATGATAGGTATGTTAATAATGCATTGCAGACACAGGCTTGCAAAAACATGTCAATGAAAGACCAGGCGTTATGAATGTGTCATGATTATTGCTAAAAAGCACTTATTATTATGAGTGCTAATGCACAATGGTAAGCATTTGGCTACCGTAAAATAACATTTATATTTTACCACAAGCACAGCAAAGAAGCTCAGGTGGTTGCAGCTACAAATATACTCCGATCCAGTTTCACTGGTTTCACATCCGTCTGTGCTCCAAACACCTAAAAACACACATATAGTTTAGATTTTTTAAATTTAAGTTCAAATAAGAATTTAGGCTGGCATTTGTTGCCTACCTGTTCCATCGTTAAAGTGTGACTCCTGCCAAAACACACAGGTCCCACTTTCTACCTGAAACATATAGACATTCAAAATAAGAGCAAAGCAGATTGGAGTCAAACTGTAGTGCTTTCACAGCTGGTTGTGTTGTGTACCTGTCTGTTGTGTCTGAAGGTTAATCTGACAGGTTGTGAGAGGTTTCTGACAGACTGGTTCCCCGCCCTCACTGCCAGGACTAACCCCCCTAGAACTTGTTTGATGATAGGCTTCTCTAGTATGACCCGCCGTCTCCCTATCCTCGGGGGGCTCAGCTGCAGAGACAGAGCGAGGGTTAGGGTTAGGTATTCATATCAACATTAGCTACAGTATCAACCTTTTCCTCCATTTCCATATTACACAATGGCTGTTTGTGCATGTACAAAGTTCACTGGAATCAATGCAAATTTGGATGAGGGGAAAGTGCTACTTTGTATAATACACACATATGTACACAGTGATAAAATGTAACAAAGTACATTTACTTAAATGTTGTTCTAAAGTAACATTTTCAGGTACTTCACTTAAGTATTTATATAAAATACAAGTCTATCTTACTACATTTTGGAGACAGATACTGTATTTTTAGTGCAATAAATAATTTTTAAATTGTTTTCATAAAAAAAACACATGATATGCTTAAATGATAAAATGCAATACTGTACTAATAATACTATTGTAACAGTATTGTATTAACATTACAATAAATAATAATACTGTTGTTTGATACTGTGAGAGAGAGCCATTATGCTTAATGACTACTTTTACTTTCAGTAAATTAAGCTAATATTATGTGTGTACATCAACATTTTCAATTAAAAACTTTTACCACATGTAATGGAACAGTACTATAATTTGTATTAGTAAGTAAAGGATCTTAGTACCACTACTGGATGTCAACAGCTTTAAGTACAAGTTGCTATATACAAATATATAAAGGTTTACCTCCTAATCCATTCACCTGACCAGTCTCTCCTGAAAGGAGCCTTCAGAAGATACTGACCTTAAATAAAGTGCTGTTGATCACCGTGGCGACCAGCAGGACCTCCTTCTGAGACGCATCTCCGCTGATCCTCTGCAGACAGGTGGAGGGGATGTGAACCGTGTGCTGCGGAGTGGGACTCTCCTCTGCCTAAAAAGTTAAAAACATAAAACATTTATCAGTAAATACATTGCATTATAAATTATACATATGATGTATACTTTACAGAACACACTTTGCTGTTAATACTTTCATGCTTTTGATTAAACAAGATTTTGAAGGCAAGACTCATACTAGAGTTATTTTACAGTGTTGATCAGTACTTTAAAGGAGTCTTGTGCTTAGTTTCAGGTTCATATTTGTATTGTGTGCCTACCGTGACATGTTTACATGCTTTAATGTTCCAAAAGGTCTTTACAATTCAATCTAAAGTTGTTTATTATACATTATGACTCATTTTGTCTGTCACATCTGAAGATTCCTCCTTATTTCTTTGGAGTTGGATAATGCCACATTTGCATATTTAAACATAACAAAACACACTTCAGAGAAAGGAAAACCCACATGGCATAATAGGGCCCCTTTAACTGAAGATTACGATGTGAATGCTTCTTGGTGATTGATGAAGCAACGAGCTATTTTTCTTTTGTTTGGCTAATGTAAGTGCATTTCATTTAAACTCGCGATTGTCTGAAAACCAGATTTGACGAGAGCTGGGAGCCAGTTGTCCAAAAAATACGAGCTCACCTCTTGAGACGAGTTCACCATCAGATGAATGAAGTTCAGGGAACGGCGCTTTACACTGCAGCTTGTAATTTCGGACTCATAACACCTGAAAACACACATTTCACAATACAAACAGTTTCATCAACTAGAAGTATGGATTTCCTGTGAACCTACAACATAATGAAGTCGTCTTTTGACATGACTTACAGTCATTTAAAATACATTTTTCAAAAAGAAAGAGGAGAATATATGAGTTTGTATTTTGTGTTACCTGGTCCACATCTCTTTGCTGAGACACCTACCCAGGACATGTCTACAGTCTTCTGTTAGAATGACAGAGAGAAGTGAAAGAGTCAGACACTATATGTATACAGCATGACTGACTTGAATAAGATAAAACAGTTAGACTTGGTATCACTCACATGTCTATATTGCATTATAAACATATTGAGTTGCTTATAGCACTTTATAATTATATTACGTTAGAGTGTCTTTATTAAACATGGACCCTGCATAAAATACATTAACCTCAAAATAAATGACGATTTATTCCAGATTTAGCTTCTAGCTTATTTCTATCATAGTCCCTAAGCAGATACACACATAACAATCAACTAAAAATATGACATTGTATCTATCAAAAATAAAAATGATAAAACGGATCAAAGAATACTTCAACATTTAATACCAGAACATTTATCACTACCATAACATTATATTTAATCTTAACCACAAACTCAAATTGCAGTCAGTTCATGTTGACAAGACTGCAGTAACAATGCCTCTCTGATTCACAATGCTTCATATCAATAGTCATCATAACACATTATGTTTTATAATGACGTATAAGGTCAAGTATCCTTGTACTTCATCGTTTCTGGTCACTCATGGACATTTCAGATTTGTTATTTTTATATTTAACCAGGGGTCGATGTATAATATCTGCCAGGAACTTTCTTTAATGAAAAAACTGGATCCCAACCCGGGGGGTCTCGAGGCGTTCTTCATTTTAAGGGGTGTGAAACAACTTTTTAAATACAGTTGGCATAACCGGGCACCTCAGGTTTTTATTCAAATGTGTGAAGAAATAAAATAGTTGGTAAGATCATTTAATTTAAAAGGACAATGTCTTTTTTCATATCTGGCATGATAAGGCTAATGAAGACGTGAACACAAGTTACAACTGCCTCACACTGCATTAGAGAAATGTGCAGATAAAACAAACAAAGAGTAAGCAGAACAATGGCCAAGTGTAAGGGAGAACACACAACTGAATTGTCAAAATAAGTATTTCTTAAGTGTATTATTGCTAAAAAAAAAAAAGAGGAAAAATAGATAATACAGGTAACTGTTTCAAAATGTGCTAAAACCCACAGGAAACCCATTTCTGTTGCAATGGTCACAGGAAATTCATAAGAATATTTACTCTAACTTGCTGCAGTTATTTGTTCACTATTTGGGGTAATTGTTCAGTTGATCAGTATTGTGAAGCTGACAATTGAGCGGCCCGACCAAGCAAGGAGGCAGAGAGAGAACGTCCAAAAATACAACCCGGTGTGGGCATTTATTCAAATCATAAGCACATGATTCACAGCCTCAATTGCTGTTCCCTGAACACAGTCAGCAGCCACAAGGATCTCACCCACACTACCAGCCTCCAAACAGACAGGGCAACAGACCCTAAATACTCACACTAATCAGCAATTCGACACAGGTGTGGGGGAGGAGACAACACCAGGTGCACACAATCAACAGCCACAGACATGGGGGAAGGGGAACACTTTTAACATGAAACCAGGAAACAGAGACAGACACATTTACATAAATTACATATATTCCCATGCTTCCTGTGCAATGTTTTTAGTGCTATACTACGCGTAACGGAGGCCGAGATCTATGGGCCCAGAGATCACCTCCGTTACAAGTATTTATACAACTATAATGTTATGGATTATAATATTAGTGCTTTTAAATGAGACACACAGATAAACTCTGTGGTTGAGTCCAGTTTTTATCACCTGAGGCTCCTGTCCAAAATTAAACCGGTTTGATCCTTTTTAGACTTTGAGCGTGTAATCCGTGCCTTTGTTTCTACACGTCTAGATTATTGTAATGAACTTTAGGCCGGCCTAAACCAGACCTCGCTGGCACGCCAGCAGCTGGTACAAAACGCTGTGGCTCGGCTGCTTACAGGAACACGCAAGCATGACCACGTACCTCTTCTGGCTTCCCTCCACTGGCTTCCTGTCCATTTTAGGGTTCATTTTAAGATTTTATTGTTTGTTTTTAAATCTCTTAATGGGCTGGCCCCTCAGAACATCTCCGACCTCCTACATGTGTACACCCCGTCAAGGGCTTTGAGGTCGGCTGATCAGCTGCTGCTGGTAGTCCCTAAAACAAAGAAAAAGACCAGGGGAGACCAAGCCTTCTCAGCGGTAGCCCCCAGGCTCTGGAACGACCTGCCCCCCCATGTCAAAGTGTTGCCCACTCTTTTCCCTCGCTTTCGAGTCAGTCTGAGCTATGCTCTACCTATTTTATGCTTTTATTGTCTGTCCATAGCCTTTATGTTCCTTTTATCTATTGTAATATTATAGTTTTGTTATAATGTTATGTTCGTTGTGAAGCACTTTGGCAAACCCTCTGTTTTTAAAATGTGCTATAGAAATAAAGTGGATTGGATTAAGAGACAGCCACACAATATGTCATGAGTCAGGCGTCATCAGTTAACTGGAAACATGATGGGAGCCGTGTGTGATTATAATGCATTATGAAAACATTACAATCTGTTACAACAATGGGAATTATGAAACATTAGGACCCATGCATGTCAGTGAGTGAGACATTTGAAGTGGTATAATCTTGTTATGATCCTTATAAGTCATTATAAAATGCTTTGATAGGTGTTGTGATTATTGTAAAATAAGCAGTTAAGGTACAAGAAAACATAACCCTCCAGTGAGGTATGCAGTTATAAAATACTATAAATCTTATGGCAGAATTACTTCAAAGTTTATGAAAGTCTCAAAATGTATTAATTACAAATAAATTAAGACTCCTTTTTTAAATAATTTTTTTTACAAAGTCAAGTATAGGGGTTATAATAATAATAACAATAATAATAATAACAATAATAAAGTACCAGTTATTTTAGACATAGCTGTCTTAAAAATTGTAACATGACGCGGATTCTGCTCAGCACTTACTCAGGGAAACTCTGGCTTTCGTTGTTGCATGTGTGGTGGTTGTGTCAGAGTCTCTATCACCACGAAGCAGATGACTCACTGTCTCTGTTTTGATTCTTGTTGAGTTTACACAAGCTTAAATCGAACATTGAAATGGTCATTGTCTTGTATGCACACAACCATAAAAATAAACTTGTGAAAAACTCACCCCCAGCTTGGATCGAAGGAAACCACACCAGTGTGAGGAGGCACAGTGGGATCCTCATGGTGTCTCTCTGTTCCTCTCACTCACGCTGAAGTGACTGTTCTCTGCCCAGCAGCACTGAGGTTTACTTGATGATGAGCAGCTAGTTTCACATCTACATATATCACATGATGGCAGACCGTAGGATGACAGTACGTGTGCAGAAGAAGTGATTCATATCCAACCTGTTATAAAGGTTATTCACTGGAAATCATACGTATTTTATGCTGGTGATGAGGTAAGATGCCTCATTGTTGTTTAATTGAATTATCAGAGAAAGAATTAGATCAACAATGTGTTGAAACAAATAAAGAATATCAATATCCTGTTGATTAAATCTCAATCTCCAAGATAAGAACCATTTTGAAAAGAGGAAGCTTCTAAAACAATTACACATTTCCTGTGGAAGAGAAACCAGACTGCCATCAGACACTATTTTACAAAGTTAGGAGCACACACAAAGTTCACTCTTGTAATATTTTTTATTTGTTAGTTTGATTGAATCAAACACACATTCGCAATATTCTAGGAAACAGCGTTACTTCAATCTTACTAAAGCTTGACAAAAAAAGAACCATGTTTGCATCAAGAATTTGGGGAATTTTTTAGCCCAACATGTCGAGAGAGGGCGACATGCAGGAGTTTCTGTTTCTGAGATGGTTGCATGAAAGGGGATTACCAGAGTGTCTACGCTATCTATGATGACATCAGGGCTTTTTCATCCCGACCAATGGCAGGAAAGGGGATCTAATCAAATTTGACTGCTGAAGACTTGGCAGGAGTGGACGTCAGCCTGTCCTCCATGTCTCTCTTCCTCTGCTTCTTGGCTGACAGGCAGATCCACAGGAAGATAAAGAAACCTTGACAAGAGGCAGAGAAATGATAGAAGCATTCATGGAGTTACAAGAAGTTCATTCACTTCTGTTCAAAATGGTCAACACATTGCCTCAAGTGCTTCTGATTTCACAACCCCCCCCTCTCTGTTATTACTAATGATCTCTTTCCTCCCTTTCCTGCCTCATCTTTCTCCACTATATCCCTTTATCTCTCACCATACATCCCTTCAGAGGCTGCATCCTTTCCTCCCTGCATCCCATCAACCCCTTATCCATTTATCCCTCCCTACATCCCTTCATCTCTAATCCCTCCCTCCCTTCCTCCTACTCACCTTCCTTCCCTCCCTACATCCCATCATCTCTAATCCCTCCCTTCCTCCTACTCACCTTCCTTCCCTCCCTACATCCCATCATTTCTAATCCCTCCCTTCCTCCTACTCACCTTCCTTCCCTCCCTACATCCCATCATCTCTAATCCCTCCCTTCCTCCTACTCACCTTCCTTCCCTCCCTACATCCCATCATCTCTAATCCCCTCCCTTCCTCCTACTCACCTTCCTTCCCTCCCTACATCCCATCATCTCTAATCCCTCCCTTCCTCCTACTCACCTTCCTTCCCTCCCTACATCCCATCATCTCTAATCCCTCCCTTCCTCCTACTCACCTTCCTTCCCTCCCTACATCCCTTCATCTTTTCTGCCTTTGAGTACTTTTTGTCTTATTATAGGTAACATCGAAGGGCTTGTTTTTAGTTTGGGCAGAAACATGGGATTCATACTCTCTCCCTCTGTTTCCTCTCTTCCATTCATTGAATCTGGGGCATACTGTTTGTCTCGGGAGTCTCTGGTTGTTTGTATTAACACACACCTGAGATCCCTTCCACCCTTCATGCCTCCCTCCCTTCATGCCTTTGACCCTTTATCCCTCCCTGCCTCTTTCCCTTCGACCATCCCTTCCTCGCTACATACCTTAATCCATCTATCTATCTACACACCCCTGCCTCTATCCCTTCATCTCTCATCCATTCCTTTCTCCCACTCGTTGACCCTTACTTCTGTTCATCCATTCATCAATCTACCACCTCATCCCTTCTTACCGAGTACCCTTCGTCCTCTCTTCCTGTTTCCCCTCTTCTCTTTCTATTTCATCTGGTGCATCTTTCTTGTTTCATTCTGTCTGGGGGCTCATATTTAGTTCAGGCAGAAGCACACCTGAGATCCTTCATCCCTTCCTCCCTACTTCCTTTTATCCATTCACCGCTCCCTGCAACCCTTCATGTCTCACCCCTCCCTCCATCTCTATGACCTCTCATCCCTTCCATTCATCACTTCACCACTACACCCCTTCTTCCCTACATCCTTTCATCTTCTCTTGGTACTTTCCCTTACATTTATAAGTGCTTAACATCCAATACCTTCTATGATACCTCATTCACACCAACGGTGTTTCAGGGCCGGTTCGGAGCTGGAGCTTGAAAAGCACCGGGTTTTCCTCTTCACACCGCAGCGGAGCAGCCTCGTAGCTCCGGAATCCGGTTCATTTCGAGCACCAAATAATTGTCCGGCCAGAGCAAAAGCACCACATACGTCACGCTTACATCGAGGCGGGGGCAGGGGCGGGATCAACTCCTGAACAACAACAAGAAGCCCGCGTTTTATCCAGTTTGTACAACGATGGAGAAACTTAACAAGCAGCAGTGGTCCACTGAAGAGACCAGCTACCTACTGGGAATCTGGTCTTCCGAAGAGGTACAGAGGAAGCTGGAGCACAATCGGCCATTGTTGTTGTTGTCGGTGTCAGCTGTGAGGGGTTTCTGCGCGGTTTGGCTTTATGAAGCAGGCACGCAAACGGTTACGTCATGACGCAAACAATGACGCAATGACGCAGCACCAGTCGGACTCTGGGCAGTGTGAAAAGAGCCGGAGCTAAACCGAAGAACCGGTTCTGAACCTGAAAAGCTCTAGCACGGAGCTTGACCGGAGTTGCGTTGGTGTGAATGAGGTATCAGTAAATCTTTAATTGACATATTGTTGTGGATTAGTCCTTGCTAGTGAAAATCTGGCAAACATAAGTGGCAGCAGACCTTGAGTGGAGTTGAGGATGCAGAACAGGTAGAGGATGGGGAGGTTGACATATCCTGATCCCAGGAAGGCCAGGCCCCAGGTGGTCCCCATCAGGCAGGTGAGACCCATCACAGTGAGGCATCTCCTGCAGGTCTCTCTGACCCTCTGGGAATCTCTCACCATCTTCCCCTTAGTCCCTTGTCCAAGCTTCGAACTGACCTGAGACACTTGTTTCATCTTGCAGATGTTCGAGGCCACTGTCAATAATATGCCAGAGTTGAAGATGAATATGAGAGTGAAATACACCAGGTTCAAGGAGTAGAAGTACGAGTCATCGGTGATCCAGCAGCTGTGGGATAGACAGACTACATTCAGAATATAGTTTAACAGCAGATAATGCAGGAGACATAAAGTAAAGTGTACCATAACACACAGTGCACTAAGTGAGAGTAGGTCTGTATGCGTCTCTCCATCCAAATCATTTGAATTTTAAGGCCTTTTTCATTCAAATTCAAACTTCGATTCTACTTTATACACTTTGCATGTCTTTTACATCATGTTATATGTACGAGATGTTGTGAAGCATTTGGTGTGAACATGGTTAACACCTTGTAACACAAATGCATCATGAACATACACATTATAAATATGACACATGTTATCATGCTCTGGGATTGTGATGGATCACAATTTCTTTTTATAAGCCTTTAATTTATATTGTTTATAAAAGCAAGTTTTTACTAAAAGCAGATATGATGTACTTACATGGCGTTAGTTTGGTTAGTATCAGCCATAGTCATTTCTGTGAGTCCATACAACTGTTTCAAATCTCTCATTCCCAAAGAGACTGCCACGATTATACCAGGGATCCCTGAAACACACACACAAACACACTCGCGGTAAATGGCGTTCGATGACAGAAAATAATAATAGTTTTAATTTTTTACAATCCAACAATGTTCAGATGTCATAACATTACATGTCACTTGTTAGACGCTTTTATCCAAAGCGACTTATATACTCAATACTGTGGACAATCCCCACAGGAGCAATTTGGGGTGAAGAGTCTCAGGGACACAACGACATGCTGACTGCAGTGGGGTTTGAACCTGTGACCCCCTGACCCTAACACCAACGCACAACCCACTTTATTATTATCATAAATAAGGCAAGCATCACAGAGTCTATATTCTATTTGATTTGATCCTATGAAAGCTATCCTCTGCGTCAGTAGCCGACTCTGGGTTCGGTGGGTTTCCTCAAGAAACGTTAATTTTATTATCTGGGGCTTCCTGTTCCTGTTCTGAGTTGAACTAATGTTAGTCACCTGACACTGATACCACATCAGCACGTAGTAAACACAGAAGTTTCTTCTACATCACTCACCCCATCCAGCGAGAGACAGTTTGACCATGTAGTGTTTGAAGTAGGTGTTGAAAACCTTTATTAGCAGGAGATAAAGGTGAAGTGCCTCAATGGCCATCCAGGTGAAACAGCAGAGCAGGGAGTAATGCATGAGAGCCGCCACAAACACACACACCCAGTCTAGCTCTATTTTGGCCCCCCACTCGGTCAGCAGGAAGGTTGTGTTGAGCAGAAAGAGGGCCCCGCTCAGAGAGACATGGATGGAGATGGAGTAATCCATTCTGTGGTTCCTGAGGAAGTGATAGGAGAAGAAGATGCAACAGTGATATCTGTCAAACTGGTTCTTAGACATTTGGCCATAAAGAAATGCAGTCCAAACTACTCCAAAAACAAATGTGCCACTTAAAGATTAAGATGTCCGTCAAGGCTTTTACTATCTGCCTATAATGTGATCTAAGACATACATTATTGCGTCCCAAAGCTGCATTCACATAACAAACTGAGAATCGTCTTGGCGCTGACGTTTCCGTTGTGTTTCTATGGCAATCCACCCGCATTGGCAGAAGCGATATCCTTGATGTCGTACCCTGCTAGACATTTTCACAGAGCGCTGCACTGATAGTAACAATTTCTACTTGATCACTTTTTACCGCTGACCTTTCAACATAAAACCAATCAGTTGACAGATGTGCTAAGTGCCACAAGCTAGTAGGGCAGGTAACCATAGAAACGCAACCCAACTAGCTGTTTTCACTGCAAGGCTCTGCCCCCAACCTCAAAGACCAAAGAGCAAATCATGTGAATGAAGCTTTACATGAAAAGGGACATTCTGTTATGGAAACATCTCTGAAGTCTAACATTGGAATATATACATTTTATTGTACCAAAAGATACGAATTAGCTCAAATATTTAAAGGATACATTTGGTGTTTTTAAACCTGGACCCTATTTTCCTGTGTCTTTTTCAATTTAAATAGCTAATGACAATAACATTGAAATGGAACTAGTATTGAGCGAGAAAGCCGCAAAATGATAATGGTACAAGATAATGGGCTGCAGACAGTTGAATTGTAACGATACATGACTTTGGTTGAATAATAGCGATTCTATCAATCAACCATCTATTATTATCGCTACAAGATGGCATCAATCCTTACTTCATAGATACGCCTTTTTTTATAAATTCCCTGGCAATTCTTCAAAATAAAACTTTTGTTGGTATAATAATTATTTCCAACAATGTAGATGTGATGCAACGCACACAAATAGTCAAAATCTTGTTCATATGCCCTGTGTATCTGCCTCTGTGTGTATAGACAACATAGAGTTTTATATAATACATGTACCTACCGACCGAAGACGTATATCACGAGGGACAAAGCAGTGAAGAATGCAGACAGGCCGCAGCCGATGTAACTGATGATTGACAGGATTTCCCAGTGAATTTTTGTAATTGGGTCTCTCATCTGTAGAAAAACAAAGAATGGTGGAAATTATTTGTCACTTATATTTGAAAATGCACCAAGTCAGAGACTGATTTCTCACACCTGGTTAATACAGTACTGTAATAGTTATGAATAAATATGATCAAAGAGGATAAATAAATGCGTGTCTTGATAAATCAGTAAAAAAAAAAGAAGGTTTTCCTACCAATAAGACTGCAAAGGGTGTTGCATGGTTACAGTTGCAAATAATGTAAGTTTGGCTATTATTGGTCTCACATCCGTCTGTTTTCCAGAGGAAATCTGGAAATGTGAACATTATAAATAAGACAACATGCAGTGTTATCCAAACATCATCTAAACAGTGAAATATAACATATTTATAAGCAAAAATGAATATACAACCTACCATTTTCATCAAAATAGTGACACTGTAAGTATGTGTCATTCTGTAGGAATAAGAAAATACAGATTTGCATTAGAGTTAATAATGGCACATGCCACCCAGACTCCAACAATAGATTAAAGGTAGGCTTAACAAAAAACAACGATCAAAAACAGTTTGATCAATTATTTGAATTCCCCTTTAAAGCTAAATTGTTAAGTGTGGCACTGTTCTGAAAATGAATGAGAACAGTTCAAAAATTATGCCACAAACTAATACTATATATTTTGTTATGAACATGAACACAATGAATATATGGCATCTTTGTTTGGTTGATTGTTCTGTCTGGGAGTAGGCCTATATAAGCTGCAGGACAGAAACTGTCAATCCCAGTGACGTGCAAATACGTTTAAAACAAGGTCTTGAAAAACAAATGAATGAATGAACAATGAAAACAATGTCCAAACATTGAAAGCAGACCTAAACCTATGTGACATACAGATTCACAAAGATAAGGTCAAATCAAGTAGGCATCATTCAGTGAAATACTTATAAAGCCCAAATGTAGGGAAGAGACTGGTTGAATGTGATGCGCGACAAAAGTAACAAAGTGATTTTTTATAATTCCATTACAGTGATGTGCCCATGTCCAAATGGACCAATCTGCGGAGCCGTTACGTTAAGTCCGTGGATTGGTCCATTTGGTTACGCTGTGTCTCGCTGTCTCGCAGACGGACACTGGGCTCACAGGGAGGGGGGGTGGGGGCAGGAGCTCCAACAAGCCGTTTAGGACAGAGAGTGAATACACATACTATACAGAGATGCTGTATGAGAAACCAATGTGAGTTTGGACAATTGCACAATTTAAATCTATTCTAGTAGACCTCAACAATGGAATTATGATCAGTAGAAATGGCCATGACATGGGACCTTTAAATAAAATGTGTTCATACGTTCATACCATAGGTTCATATATTCATGATCAACTACATTTGTCCAAGGGCCAAAATTATTCCTAGAGACACTTTCGGTGGCCAGCGATGTTTATATATAGCCCTGACTTTTGAAGTTTTTGACCGGGGGGATGGTGCTGTGGAGCACGCCCATGTACTGTCAAGTCGCCGGAGCCTCGTAGTGGGGGCTACTGCGGAGCGCATAAAGCAGACTCTTCACGCTAACGAAGGATCACTTCTTCTTCAGGGCAGGGAAGGCTACGCAGTACGCAGGCTACTGTCCCGCAGCTGCTGCCTCTTTGTTGGACTCCGGTACTGCACATTACTCCGAGACGTTGTACAAACTAATTGAGTGGGGGGCGAACGCACTAACCACTCCGCCAGCGCCACAGCGCGTGCCGGATGAGAATGGCTGTCGTGCCAGATTTGCCGCGGGCCGCCAGTTGATGGTCACTGTTGTATATCACAGTGGCGAACCGTGTCTATCACAACTGGACCTTCTGTATACACACACGCCCCCCGCCGCGGCATTATAATGTCCGTCTTTTCACTGAATTGTCGTCTTGAAAAGGGTACTCACAACAATTCCGCAACAACTTCATCTTCACCTGTTGCACTTGTCATTTCAACGTTAAAAACAATACAACGGCATGAATTGCTTCGTCGCATTAATCTCTAGATCCTCTGTCTCGAGCCAGTTAACTAGCGGGCCTTCTAGAGCAGGGGTTCCCAACCTTTATTGTGCCAAGGACCGGCAGATACATTAAAAAAAAAAGTCGCGGACCGGTTGTCAATTTTAACTGATTTTAATATTTACTCACCACCAGCAGGTAGCAACAGAGGCTAATTGTATGTAACAGCCTGAACAAATACTAGAACAATATGCATCCAAAACATATTGTAGCGATCCTGATAGGCTACTCAGGGTGTCACTTAGGCATCCCCCGTCTCTCTGCCAATCATAGAGCTGCACCGTGATGGTGGCTGAGGTGCGGGCCTGTGGTTGGAGCGGACGGGGGGGGGACGGGGAGTTGTGACGTAGGCAGTGCTATATCTTGTGGTTGGTTTAGGAAATAAGTCAGTGTGCGGTAGAACCCACGAAGTGTACTTGACCTGTTATCATCTGTCTTCAAATACTAGTTATTAAAGCCTAATAACTACAAGCCTGTCTCCGACTCATCTTGGGAACGTTACATTGGTGTCAGAAGTGAACTTTTCGAACAAGGGACGTCTATCCGGACGAGAGTCGTAACTGCGTCACGGAGCTAGCCGGTAAGCTAGCGGGGATGGATAAGTTCAGCAAGATGGGAGTGAAGCAGGAACACAGTAGTGATGAAGAGGAAGATGGAGCATGCGGGTGGTCGAAGGACATGAGAGAGGAGTTCATGAGTGCACGGGAGGTGAGAGAGCGCCTGAGAGAATCGGCGGTGAGGATGGCTAGAGACGCGGGAATGTCTCCGTCTTCTGCGGCAGTTCGCGCCATTTCCAAGCTGGAGGTAAACAACAATGGCGGCACCCATCAACCCGCAGCAGCCGCCGCCGGGTCAGTGAAAACACCCAAATTCTCGGGTAAGGCAGACTGGGAGGCTTTCCATGCCCAATTTGAACTGCTTGCTCATGCCGGGGGGTGGTCAGTAGAGACTAAAGCACTACAGCTAGCTTTGTGCCTCACAGACGAGGCTCTTTCATGTCTGCTACTACTTAGCCCTGTGGACCGACTCAACTATGAAGCGTTAGCGGGGGCTTTGAAGAGGCGGTTTGGACAGAGTTTCCCGCCAGAGCTGCTCCGGAACGAGTTGAGTAACCGCTGTAGAGAGTTTGGAGAGACGCTGCGTGCACTGGCTAACAACGTGGAGAGCCTGACGCGGCGGGCGTATGCACACATGCCACCCGGAGTACAGAGTGAGCTGGCACGTGATCAGTTCATCAGGGCCCTCCGGCCTGTGGACTTGAGGGTCGAGGTACAGCTGCAGCATCCACAGTCCTTACAGGCGGCCTTGGAGATGGCTGTGGAGAGGGAGAACGTGTGGAGTGGAGCTGCTAGGAGCGGCGGAGTGCCGGCGGCGCCGGCGGTGAGGAGCTGCAGGGAGGAGGAGAAGCCTGCATGGGTTACCGAGCTGACAGAGATGATAAGGGCTGTTTCTCTGCAGCCAACACACAGACCAGACACCAGAGTCTGCTGGGAGTGTGGTCAGCCAGGACATTTTGCCAGAGACTGCACCAAGGCTCGGCGAACACCAGGGAAATGACGGGGGGCCCGCATAGAGGAGGATATGTGGAACCAAGCCCGAAGACTCCCCAAACAAACCACAGCTTTATTGCCACGGACTCAGACATCCGCGGAGGGAGCCCAACAGCACAGCAGGGGGAGCCAGACTCTACGCCCTCCTGAAAAAGATGACAACACCGGAGTGGAGCCTGTCGTCGCGGTGGGCCGTGCTGGTGGGGACTCCTGCTATGTTCCTGTCGAGGTGGAGGGGGTGCCCTGCGATGCACTGGTGGACAGAGGCTCTACAGTAACCCTGGTGAGAGCAGAGGTGTTGCCCAGTGGGACTATGTTCGAGCCGACAGCGGTGCGTCTGCGCACAGTCACCGGAGAGTTGGCGGCTATGAAAGGAAGAGGAGTGCTGTCTGTGTCGGTGGGGGGAGTGGAAGTGCGGCACCCCGTGTGGATAGCGGATGTACAGGACCCGTGCAATCTGGGTTTGGACTTTCTGAAGGCGACGGGCTGCCTCCTGGATCTTCAAGCCGGCACAGTGAGTTTCGGGGGGGGGGCCTGTAATTACTATGACCCGTGTCCACAACCCTGCTGAGCCTGCGGGGAGACCCCCGACACCCACCGTGAGTACCCTAGACACGGAAGCAAACCCTCCCTCCCTTCCTGTACCCACGGTGACGCCCACTCAGGACAATTCCCCACCTGTCACCCCCGGGCTGCGCCACCCGAGCACAGCCCCCCCCCAAGTACCACAGACGGAGGTAGAAGAGGCTCGGTCTGCAGTATTGGAGACTCACGAAGAACCCACGAAGTGTACTTGACCTGTTATCATCTGTCTTGAAATACTAGTTATTAAAGCCTAATAACTACAAGCCTGTCTCCGACTCATCTTGGGAACGTTACAATATTAACGTTTAAAAAAGAACCGGTGTCGTTTTTTGGTTTTTCGGAAAAACGGAAAACCAAAATACCGACGTTATTCAGTTTTTAAACCAAAACGGGAAAACAGATAAATCAACTTTTTTTTGTTTTGTTTTCAGAAGATATTATGATGGTGTCGTTCGTTCCGGTGCACGTCCGACAGCATTTAGCACTACATCGAGATTAAGATTAAACTAATTTATTTTGGGAACACCCGCATATAGGCTACCTATGGAGTTAGCCAGATGTGTGTAAATTACTGTTCATGGTCATTTGAAAACAAATGCCGGTGTCGGACAGACACAAACACACCGAACACACAGAGCTGAGCTGAGCAGAGTACACACACACACACACACACACACACACACACCTTGGTGACTGGACATCTCCTTCATAAAACTAATAAAAGGGGGAGTAATCTGGCAGTTTGATGTGTGTAGAGATGTGTGTGGTTAACACGTAGCACGTGCAGCCTGCACTCTTAAACTGTTCTGAAGAAGGTAAACACAGCGAAGGCGGTGCGTAAAAAGGCACCGCTCTCGGCGCGCTGGTGCTGCACTTCTCAGAGGCGGAGTATACGTCCCGCTGCCTCCTGATGCTGCAGCCATTTCATTAAGTGAAGGAGGTTTTCCTTCTATAAAACAGCTGTGGCAGCAGATACCGTGAGAGTCCCGGACATGAATTCATAGATCAAGGCAGACTGGTTTACAGACTCTCCTGTTTTGCCAATCCGGTGCTTAAACAAATAGCTCTACACCCCTGGCCGACATGTCCTTAAAATGAAGTCTGAGTTTGAAATATATCTCAAATAATGTATGCACTGCCATTTCCCCACATAAACATAACAGTCTGTAATTAAACGGTTGTCTCCTGTGCGCTCCTCTTCCTACTTGGCGCACAGGTAACTTTCTCGTGCGCACGAGAGGCTGAGACCAGGCTGAGCCGCCGAATCCCTCGCAACATCATAAAAGCCATTTTCAACGGTTTTCTGGTGAAAGATTAACATGGCTACTGGATGAAATAATATGACTGGTATAGGTGCAAAAATGAAACACCTTTTGAAAAAAATATTATGATAAAATATTTTTATATATTTATAATTCTGCAAATATTACGATAAACTCACAGCTATTTCGCGGCCCGGCAGTAACACCTCCGCCGCCCGGTACTGGTCCGCGGACCGGGGGTTGGGAACCCCTGTTCTAGAGTACCCTGGAACCGAGGGGAACTCTGAAAGAATACGCCCATTGGCTACAAATCAATATATGATTGGTTGATCAAACTGTCAGTCCAAACGTACGCTCTCATTCAGTGCAACGGCCAGGGCATTCTATCAAGGATGTAGAATACCTTGGTTGAAGGATATCATACCCAGAGACCCAGAACAAGATCTGATTGGTTGCTTTCTTTTCTAACACAAAACCACTGAAATGCGCATGGTGCCATGGTACCTCGGACCATGGCACCATGTGCATGGTCCGAGAAGGACAAACAAATCAACGTAACACTGTAATATTACAGATCAACAACACAGATACGATTATCATTTATTCATTTTATTAAATGTTTTTTATATAATTAAATCGATTTTTTGTTTGTTTTATCTGAGTGTTCCAGGGTATTCTCTGAATACCTTGAAGGCCCTGACGGTTCACCACTGGTATATCATAGGTATTTTGGTTTCCTTTTTATAAAGAAGAATACACACTAGCACCCCCTGATGGTTGGGAGAGTTAATTTCTCTTAAGCAAGTTCTGAATGTCTTTGATGTCTTGGAAAAGTATTAGCATCAGAATATACTTAAAGTACCACAAGTAAAAGTAGTCGTTGTGCAGATTGTTCCATTTCAGAATAATATATATGATATGTTTTATCATTATTGATCATTAAAGTGTTCTCAAAGCTGGTAAAGGTGCAGCTAGTTTGAATGACTTGAATTTACTCCAGGTGGAACTAAAGTCTGATTTAACACTTGGTTATATTTCACATCATTCACCCACATCTGAAAAGTAACTAAAGGTATTACATACATGTTGTGGAGGTAAAGTACACCATTTACCTCTGAATTGTAGTGGGGGAGAAGTACATCAAATGGAAATACTCAAGTAAAGTACAAGTTCATCAAAATGGTACTTAAGTACAGTACTTGAGTAAATGTACTTTGTTACTTCCCACCACTGATTGCGTGCAACCTTTTAGGCGTGGCTAAGCATTTAACTGGCGCGTGAAAATCAAAGAGAGTGAAGACAAGAACTCGTGCAAAGACAGACTTACATCCAATCTTGCGTTTGGAGAAATACCGAAAGTCATGGTGATTGGTGTCTTCAGATCCTGAAGGCGATGTTTTCCCTGGAGCTCTATCCTGAGAACCATTGATGAGATCTCTTCCTGTTTGACCTGGGAAACAGTTTCTCTTTATAAATGTATACAGTTCATATATTCAAACCGATAATGAACAAAGATGACCATGATTCAATCATTAGTGTTTTAGGACTACATGGACAATGTAACAAAAATAGGATAAAGGTTATACTTGGAACTGGCTGCCATGCATGTAGCTGACCAGCCCAATAACCCTCTCGCCCTCTGGGATGGCGCGCAGGGCATTTACAGGCAGCCAAATGTCAGGGATAAACGACATGTTCTCCGGCAGCAGCTAAGAGGGGTTAAAAGAAGATGAGGTTAACACTAAAAACGGACAGAAAAATCATTGTAAATCTGAAGATGGGTCAAACTGAACGCAGTCTAAGGCCACATCTATGGAAGCAAACAAGAGACAGAAGTATTTGAATTTTATTAGACACCGAATTTATAGCATTGAAAATAATTACTTTGAAAATCATGTATCTGAATGTTTTTGCTCCGAATTTACCTATGTGAAATAAAAATGTAAAAATTCAAGTGAAAAAAATTCGAATGTTCAAATTCAGATCCCAAAAATTCGACGACAAAAAATTCGATGTCAAAAAATTCGGTGTATAAATTCGATGTCCAAAATTGCGATGCAGCATCATCCGGGCTACTCAGACAGGATAAGCAATCGAGCCCTAATGCAATCAAACTGACTTGGCCTATCAGAGCACGGCTTTGTCAGTCATGTTTGATTGATTGAAAAGTTTATTAACAGCTTGTATATTGGGTACAGTACAGTACAGCTCAAAACATACAATTGTTAAGGGGATGCAGACCAGAGAAAGACTTTCGTCTTGTTTACATCAGGGCCCCCCATTTCCAATTCATCATATCATTTAAGACATATAAGACATATTTGACATACAGATGGCTTATTTACAATTTACATACAGGTGTTTTTTTTACATACAGATGTGATCACAACAACCCGGGAGAAAAATGACGGAGAACAGCGGGGCTCGCCGCTCGGGTAAGTAGTCAGTTTGTGCTCTTTATCTTACAGCATTTGTATCTTACATTAGCTAAATGAGTGAAGTAGCCTTGTGCCTTGCTGTTAGCAAGCTCCGTAGTTATCATTAATTGAAGTGAATCACAACGTTACCGTGTCCTTTTGTGTGTGTGAGTGGGGGGGGGACGGTTTGCAAAGTAACGTAATGATCACTTCGGTTAGATAAGTCAAGTAGACCATGCTACACTATACGAAATACTCTCTTACAAAAGCCCTGCATTTAAACATGTTACTTTATTAAAAGTATGCTAGTATAATTAGGAAAGTGTTGTTAAAGTATTTAAAGTAGACACAAGTTATACTATTATATTATATCATTTGATTTATTGTTATTACCGATGCACGAGTTGACTTAACTGTTGTAGTTGGAGCTCATTTTGAACAATGAGCTAACTAATTATTACTTTCATAATGGTTTAATGTGCTGACTATTTTCTACATTAATAGATGAAGGTCTGGTTTGTTCAAAGTCTCAAAATAGTAGGACCAGAGCCCGAGAGACTCTAGGGCTCTGAGTAGGACATGCTGTCATAATTACCCAGAGTCCGAAGTGACACCTTTACAATGTTAAAGCTGTTAGATAAATGTAGTGACGTAAAAACTAAAGTATTCAAGTTAGTGTAGTGAAAAAGAGATGTTTTTTTTTTTTAAATGTTACCAAAACAAAATCTCTTGTTTTGGACTGACAGTAATGATTCAAGAAATAGTAAATAAATAAATACACACATCAATCTGTTGTGGATGGAACACAACAAATGGTGCTCTTACCTGTGATGCCTCCTCCAAACATTATAACCAGACTGTATCATTCAAACTATAAGTAACAGTTCTAGCTACTTGACTTTAGACAAACAATTCAAAAGACAAAATCAACACAATTTATTGAAAGACCAATCTTTATTTCTCTCCTTTTGTTTGTGTTATTAAACCCTGTCAATCTAAAAAAACTGAGCAACTCAACAGTTAACTTTATATTTCTTATTGTCCAAAGCATCTATTACACTATTTGTTCCCCTCTCATATTCACAGGATGGATGATTAGAGACTTTGGGGGAGACCTCAGCTTTATGAACGTCCTGTCTGTTGCTTTGGCCGGAGAGGGCTGAGGGTCTTTCCCTGCGAGGAGTCCTCCTCGCAGGGAAAGACCCTGCAGACCTGATGGAGGAGGACCTGCACCACCTACAGAACTTAGCCCATGCTGGGCATAGCTGTTACCACCTGCACAGGCCTAGCCTGTCAATTAACAGATTAACATTTAGTGTAACTTATGTATATTATTTCGTTTTTATTTAAAAAAAAAATGGTGATGGTTCATGCTTGATAACTTTTAGTTCACATTTCAATAAATTGTATTTGCAATCCTTTTGTCCGTTATTCTTACTGAAAATGTTAGATTACACATTCACATCTGACTGAAGATTGGTACCATTTATTTATGACGTTGCAAACTCTGCGGTACAAGGCACAAGTATTGTGAAGCTCATAAAGTGAGGCAAATGCATTTGATCAGCTGACTTTTTTTTTGCCAAACTTTATAGGCATGACAATAATCACACTGTCTCTGAGGTGCAACGTAAAACACAAAACAACACAAATGAAGTTCCTGTTAGACTACAAAACTATTCAGTGTGCAGGTCTTTGTGTTACAATACAAGTGTCTCTTAGTGAATGTCCTGTACTGCTCTTAAATCTCATAACATCAGCTTCTCCTTTCCCTCTTGGATGTTCTTCTGGACCCTCAGAGAAAGAGAACATGGTGAAGCAGTCCTGTCTCTCAGGCATGTCCTTTCCTAACAGAAATATCAAAAAACATATTATTGCAGAGCAAGTGTGTTATTTAAGAAAGAGGTGTGTTTGTTTGTTCATAAATATAATGATTTTTTTTATTTGAATGTGTTTTTTAAATCCAACAGTGTACTACAAAGATAATCAGATTATGAATAAACCGTTCTAAATTCATCAACATTGAAATAAATGTATTATTAAAATAATATTTAACTGTTATCAAAACTTAGTACAACTGTGGAAGCTTGCTCTGTCCGGTTGTCTCACTGAAAGACAAAGGGTCGCAGCTCTCACTATGTGATGTTGCTTGGTCAAATGTAAATGTAACCTTTTGCTAAGAAAGTCCACTCAACATCACTGATGTGTAGGTGATCTAGTATTCAGTCATGTTTAATGGCATGTCTATCAGTGTATTAGAGTCATTACTTTATGCATTCTTTGTAAAGCATGAAAAAGGTGTACCTTGGAATCCGTGCTGAAGTTCTCTGCTGCTAGGACTCCAGATCTGTCTCTCCTCCTCTGGTCCAGGTCTGTCTCTCCTCCTCTGGTCCAGATCTGTCTCTCCTCCTCTGGTCCAGATCTGTCTCTCCTCCTCTGGTCCAGCCTGTCTGGATCACCTTAAGGACACTTTGAACAAACAGATGTAAAGTTACATGCATGGGTTACAGACTTCTTTACATGCAAACAACTTTTTATCTTCTTTTAAAAACAGGTCATAATCTTATTGTTATACTTAAGAAATTGCTGGATATCACAGTCCTTATACTGTATCAGTTTGATTGAGTATTATTGTGTAGGTCCTTTTTATTTTACTGTTACTTTGGATGAGGTTTTCATGAGTCAGTCAAATTAATTTGTTTTCAAATGCCATATTCATATGCATCACACACGTAAGGGTAAGACACACACCTATTTAACAAATGCAATGCAATGGATAAGCTTCATTCTGACTGAAGTCACAGATAACGTCATATCTAATATTTAAACAAATCATTTCCTTGTCACTAAAGCATTGACTACGCTATTCATCGTCCTTAAATGCAGGCATTAAGTTACATGTTCTGTTCTACAGCCACGATAAGGCTGTTTCTCAAGTGTGATGATAATACAATTAAAAGAGGCATTGGTAATAATATTTAAAACAACAATGTTTGGGTCGTTCGTCGGATGGACGGTTAGCTGCAATAAATAACTCCAGTTCAACAAACCATATTACAATATCTAAGGGAGCGTTATTATCTTGAAATGTGACGTTCATATTTTAAAGATACACATATTTCATTGTGAGGTTGATTTAATATACACTAAGCCTCTCTTCAACAATACGTTGACGTTAGCTAGTCTATTTTATGCTATAGTAGAGCATAGCGAATTTAAACGAACCTTAACAATGCATACAGTAACCTAACTAGCAAACTAACCATCTAACGTACAAGGATGACCTTATTTTAGCAACCTCGCACAGAAGCCTTTTGGTATACAGTAGCATCCCACTGAATGTTTTACACTCTTGGATGCTACGCATAGCATCGTTAGCACAGATGGAGCTACGATTGCTCAAATGCTACCCCAACTCTAAACATTCATTAACGTTAGCTTAATAAAAACACCAGTAACATAACATAAAGTACGCAGGGTTGACTTACCGAAGAAACTGCATTCATGGACGGTCTGTTTCAACCGCAGATAGATCCTATATTTGCATGACGAATAGTCCACCAGGAACCAACACTACAAACACTGCCGAGTTCAAGTAGTGTTCTCCTCATGAGCTGAGCCGCTGTAGCATCACGGAGCTAGGAGCAGCAGTCCCGTTGTCATGAAGGGGGAATCTAACTATATACAGAATATGTTTTTGTAGATCCAGGCTAGAAACATGTTCATTTTCTGATGTTAAGTTGGACATTTTAACAAAGGGTCTACGGGAATTGCTCCCATCTGCATCCATCGCCTACAGTTTGCAGCATTGGGCTTCACCGCACTGTCCCGGGGTTTGCCGCTTGGCTCTGATAGGCCAGAAGTCGGTTTGATTGCATTAGGGCTCGATTGCTTATCCTGTCTGAGTAGCCCGGATGCGGCTGCATCGCAATTTTTGACGTCGAATTTGACACACCGAATTTTTTTACATCGAATTTTAAACACCGAAATATTTGACGTCGAATTTTTTTCACTTGAATTTTTGGGATCTGAATTTGAACATTCGAATTTTTTTAACTTGAATTTTTACATTTTTATTTCACATAGATAAATTCGGAGCAAAAAAAATTCAGATTCATGATTTTCAAAGTAATTATTTTCAATGCTATAAATTCGGTGTCTAATAAAATTCAAATACTTCTGTCTCTTGTTTGCTTCCATACACATCAGCGTAACAAAGACATTAACATGTTCAAATCAAGGACTCTTAGTCATCCCCATTTATGATGGCATTATTTGGAGGTAGCCCACTTTATACAGTATCACCTTCTTGGAATCAGCTTAAAGATCTCCTATCATGCTATTTTTAGATATATATATATTTAGGGTCTCAGAGATATACAAATATGTAAAAAACATGTCATATTTTGCTCAAAATACCAAACAGATCATGCATTTTAGACATCCCTCATATCCTATTTCAGGCCTGTTAGAGAAACGCTGATTCTGGGTCCTTAGCTTGAAAAAAAAAAGAAAAAGAGGAGGGGGAGCTTGTGCCTGCTCAGAATTCTACAAGATACAGCTAAATGCCATATCATGTTCCAAACCACATCAAGGATTATTTCTGAAACAGTTTGGAGCTCAAATGCTTTTTCTCTTGCGGGTTTACCACAAGGTGAGTTCCTTTTTTTATTTCCTGCTTTTTACACATACTCTCTCCAGTACAGCGTTAGCTCTCTCCATATTACTTCCAAAAAAATGTTTCTGATTCTGACGTTTCTGATAGGACCGTCAGTGTAAAGCCAGCCCATATTTCCGATATTACGTCATATCGGCAGCAAATCTGGATCAGCTCCGTTGTACCCCCGTTTTTAGAGATTTGAGTAAGGCGGAAAAGAGAGTGTTTCCTGACACTTTGTGAGTTCCCTGACACACTGGGGACACATATTTATGTATAAAGGACATCAGAAAGTGCATTTTGCATGATAGGAGACCTTAAAATCTAAATCTAAATATGGTGGTGTTTCCCTTGTTATTATACTCTCTAATAATAGGAATAATAATAATAATAATAATAATAATTATTGTAAAGGAATATTTTAGTCTGATGCTTAGCTGACCTGAGAAACTTCACATGAGTGACTACTCTTTCTCTGTGTGGGGGGAAGGGTTTACTGCCCGCTCAGACAGAGTTTCTTTGTCTGTTCATCTGTAATCGATTGGGGTAAAGGCCAGCGTTTCTGGGCTCCGCCCTTTCTCAGAGACCAGGTTCGAGCGCTTCCGTCTTTTGTGTTTAGAGTTAATTTTGGCAGCTTGCATTGAACAGTGCGAGTTGCTTTGTTAATCCTCCGGCCGTTTTGTCTCTCAATAAATATCAGTGTATTGACTAAGGCAAATCCAGTTTCCCTCATTTCATGATTGGCTCAACATTGCTGCAAAGAAGTTTTTACTTCACAATTATTATTATATATTTCTAACTACATTTATTTATATTTAAATAATTTTTTGTTGTTTTCATTATTATCATAATTATTATCAATGCTATTTTTTCCATATTAATTTGTTTAATAATTGTTCGGGCTGCTATTTTATTTATTGTTAATTATAAAGAACATATCAGAATTTAAGGCATACAATAAGGCATGTTTGTTCCTTTGTTTTGTTTTACTTATACTGCCTGTAAATAAATTATTTTTTGTATTTTAAGCAAAGAACATTCAAGGACAAACTGTGTTAGTAAAAAAAAGTAAAAAAACCCATTTCCTCTGAACTCCTCAGCAGCATCTTATCACAGCGTGTGTACCTGCGGAGCGTCTATCTTGAAGGTGAGGTTGGCCTCACTGATGTTGGCCTCTCTGATGTTGGCCTCACTGATGTTCACCACATTCAGAGTCAAGGCCTTCATGTCGTAGATCATGGAGTCTCCTGGCTCCAGCTGGGTTGTCTCGATGATGTTATCGATTATCTTGCATTCCGCTCTGCAAGAACACATCAACCAATTGTACGAGTCTTGTTCACAGGGGAAACACTCTTAGAGGAGACCAGGAGGGACAGCAGCCCTGTAACCAATCATGTTTATTGAATGGTCAGCTGATCTTTTGGGACATTAAGATTAGGTGTTTTGGAAACAGCATCACTGGTAATATTAATAATCACATGATTACATCATTGTTTTCCTGTAGATTAGGCCATCGTATTCCTGTGGACACAGGAATGACATCACCAACTGCAGCCGACTAGTTCATAATATAAATTCCTAATGAAAGAAGATCTAGGTCCTGAGTCAGTACATTCTAAAGAAAGCACTTTGGTAACTTCATTTATTTTTTCTTTATAAATCAAAAGGCTTTCATTATTTTACATTTCAAATAAAAAAGATATACAACTATAACTTTATCAGTATTGTTATTAGTCCTATATCATCCTGACATTACCAAAGGAAATTACTACTAATTTAATTTTCAACATTAATTCGCTTTTTTCCCCTACTCTATTCTCTCAGTAATACAAAATAAAGTGTTTTGTCTTTATGTATCATTTTTGTATTAGTTATTACGTTATCATTGTATCTCTTATCAGCAACCAACATCAGGAGGTTATCTTATGAACTACTACTTCTTTAAATATACAACAGTTGAGGTGATATTATTATTAAAATTCATGGGGATGATGAATACAACGTATCCATCCTCGCCCCTCTCTTTGCATCCTTGTGTTGAGCTAACATGAGAGGAAGATGCCAATATAGCGCCTTTACTAGTCATTACTTGTGACTGCAGGTATAGAACCGAGTGACAAAATGTCATTTTTTCTGTCCTCTTTTTATCCTCTAGATCAGGGATGGGCAACTTTGATGGTGGTGGGGGCCACATAATTGATGTACTGGCCACCAGGGGGCCGCAGATTCACTTGGAACACACACACACACACACACACACACACACACACACACACACACACACACACACAAATTCCATGTATTGTATGTAATTATTAACAAATATACTACATTTTACAATCCTTCAGGGAACATCCTCTAATAAGCTCACTCAAAAAATATCAGTACACAGAAATGTTATTTCATTTTTACAAGTGGCATGTTTGTATTGAACAGGTTATTTAACAGTGGAATAAAACTATTTTAAACTATTGGAAAGCACGGAAAATGTGTGTGCATTGAGATTAACCATTAAGAGTACATAAGCATGAAGTCATGAACACTAACCCAGACATTAGTTGGTGAACCTAAGACACTTATAGCCCGTCTCAACAAAACACCTGTTAACCTGCACTCTGCCGTTCCTCAGTGCCGGTATTTTAAATCATGTACGCAGCTCGCGACGTAACTAGGAGTCTAGTGGACGGTATCAGTACTACAAGTAAAAAAAAATCAAAATATATATATTTTTTTATTAATTACGTTGTTTATAAATTAATCTGAGGGCCGCAAAAAGAGGAGGTGGGGGCCGCATGCGGCCCCCGGGCCGCCATTTGACCATCCCTGCTCTAGGAAATATATCCGGATCAATTATGTTGAAAGACAGACATTGTCATACCTAGAGCCATGGCTATACACAGTATAACAGAAAAGTGTACACACTAAAGATATTAGGCTGAGATAGATGCACACACATGCAAGCACAACCAAAAACATGACCCCCCCCCCCAGGTTTAGTCCTGCCAGAGATAATTAATGAGTTTGTGTCCTGAGCAGCACACACAGGGTCTCACCTTATATAGGCTTTCTTCACTTCACTGTTGTAACCGAAGAGCTGTGGGCATGAATCCCTCACGTAGAAGAGTTTCATCATTTCCTTCTGGTCAGACCTTAATCCACTTAGCTCAGTCATCAATGGCAAGATGCTATAGTTTACGCATGGGTACAGATTGCACATCATATCTGCGAAGGGAGAGGTGAGTCAGAGTCAAAGCAAGAGACACTACACGTTAAAACACTGTTTTTTCATACACCGATCAATGTTGAGTCTTTGAGATGTTTCTATGCATGTCTTCTTTCCTACAAATGGAATGCATTCCAAAGTTGTTTATTATATATTATAACTAACTTCTTCTGTCACATCTGAAGATTCCTCCTTATTTCAGCACAAATTAGAGTTGGATAATGCCTTATTGCATATTCAAACATAACATTTTGTGGAAATTAAATGTGTTTGTACAATAGGATTGTACATATTCTTACCCTGCTGTTAAGCAGTAGTACGACTGTTGTTAACTGATAACTACACATTGTATGGATCCAGTAGTAAAGGTCCAATGCTGCCCTCTATTTCTTTGGAGCAGGAGGCTGGGAACAACACATTCCACCTGCAATTTAAAGGGGCCCTATTATGCAAATGTTCAGGTTCAGGTTCATATGTGGAGTTAGTGCCTCTACTGTGCCATGTTTACAAGCTTTAATGTTGAAAAAGCTCTTTATTTTTCTCATACTGCCTGTGCTGCAGCACCTCTTTTCACCCTCTGTCTGAAACCAGAGCATCACGTACAATGTGTTATTGTACGTGATAGGTGATAGCAATAGCAATAGAAGCACGACTGTTTAATAGTGATGTCATTATGTTACGGAAGTAAACAAAGGAGTCCAATGGAGGCGTTTCAGGCAGGAGGGGGAGAGTGAAGACACTCCCTCTGGAGGGACCACAGTGATTTTAGCCTTTGCAGAGCATTTACATGCACTAAAACCTACAGAATACAGGAAAAGGAAAACACTCAAAAGCATAATAGGGCTCCTTTAAGTAATCAACTGGCATATAACATGATCTTTAAAGGCGGTGTTCTCCTAGTGTTTTTTCCTAATATGAGGGAGACATCTCCGCTACAATCTAAATAACATACACCAGGCTTTTCAGTTTAATTTATTTTACTGTAAAACCTTTCCTTCTAATACAAATATATTATTTGGAACCTGGCTTTATCCAATGTTTGGATTAAGGTTCCAAAATTCTAATTGTAAGAATTGCAAATAGTCAAATATGTATTAAGAGAGTCTCATTTGCATATATTTGAAACATAACATAAAAAACGGTAACAAAAGAGAAATGGTCTTAATGTAAGATCAAGAAACACTACACACAGTATGTGTGCTTCTTTCTGAGTGAGCGGTCTGCTCGAGACTGCACTTACATGGTGTTAGGTCAAACTGTATTCTGGGAGGATCCGTCTTGTTTGTCACTGTCGCATCAAAACAAAAAGATGATCCATTAAGACACATATTCTTCTGGTACTCGCAGAGGAAGATGCAGGAAGAATTATTGTATATGCAGTTCACTGAAATCCGCCCATCCTCAACACGAGCATCCGTCATGGTGATGTTCATGTGTCCGTTTGAAATGTTGAGACAAACTGAAAACACAAGAAACTCACTTTATCTTCCTGTTCCTTATGACAACACCTAAGATATGCCTTTTTGTATTTTTTAATACGCAAGTAGTTGTTTTACTGTATGAAAAATAAAACATAGGCAACCACATTTTTTAATTGTCATTTTGTATGTATATATTGTGTTTTGGGGTAAAATCAAAAAAAGCTCCAGAGATCCTTTTTTACACTTATGGCAATATCAATCCAAACAAATGGATGGTTTGAATTTGGCTTAGCAAGTGTTCTCCTTACTGTTTACCAGAGGTGGAAGATGTATTCTCCTACTTAAGTAAAAGTAGAAATACAAAGTTCTGCGTTCAAAATATTACTCAAGTACAACAGTATAACCATCAAAATAAACTTAAAGTACCAAAAGTAAAAGTACTTAGTATGCAGATTGGCCCATACTAGAATAATACATTTCATATTTAAAAAGGACATCTCTAGAGCAGGGAAATCCATCCTTTTTTGGGGGGTATGCCTCTGAACCCCCCTAGCAGCCTGATTTTGGCCTCTAGTATTTATACAATTCTGCATACGGCCATAACTGTGTGCCATTTGAAGGCTGTTATGACCATAATGTTTTCTATTAAATAAATACAAAACAAACACAAAAATAGCTGAACACTCATTTAAAAAAAACAAAACAATTTAAAAATGTTCTTTGGTGAATAAAACCTAGAATAATGAAACTGTCTTTCATACCTTGGTCAGCAAGAGATTGAGGCAGCAGCAGTAACAGCAGTAAGGGAACCATCTTACTTTCTCTGTGACAAGAAAACAACAAATAATTGACATTTGAATGCCAATATATTCAGTGCAAATCAGCAGTAAGTCAATCCACAACCCTTGGTGTTCTTTCACTGTTCTGTCTATGGCTTCAGAACGGAGAAAAACAAACAGATCACCACTAAATCAAAGAATTGTAATTGGTTTTAACTGTTGTTGGACTCATTAAAGCAAAAAGTGAATTCCGTTTTTCTAAATTCATTTTTTTCCTCATATTTCTCCTAAAAACAGAGAAAATATTGTGTCAATTCTCATAATGGTAACACCAGAACATTAAACACAACATTTAATTTAAACAAGTACAAATAATAACAGCGCAATAGCTTTTTATAGTGTCACCTAATATCCAGGGCTTAATAGAGTAACATCTAGAAGTTCCATCATAAGGGACATTTGAAGTTCTAAACCTATATTTTGAATGTCCTATTTTTCTAGTTACAATAGTTTTACCAACATTTATATAAACTGTTTCTGTATTTCATCTTTCAACTTTGACAAACAACTACAAAATATCTTAATACCCAAAGTGCCCAATGAAGAAAAGATAATTAAATGGGTACTTACAGTATTACTCTGTGGACATGGGGAAGTTCTCGTTTCCTCTGAATTGACCGGTATGAAGCAGACTCGCTTGTGAACCATTCCGGAGAGGTATTCTAATTAGCTTCATGTCCAAAACAACAGTACTTGTGTTCGGCTACTGGATGTATTTGTTTTATGCAAATAGTGCAATTACATTACTGAAGGGGAGTTTGTTTCATGTATGATGTCAAAGTCTAAATTCCACTGCTACAGTACACCAGGTGTTTCAACAGTCATGTTATTTCATGTAGAATAACCTCATGGAAAACCACTGAAGGCTTCCAGGTTTACACGTGTGTCTCAGCCTTTAGGGAAGTAGTGAATGTTAAAAAAAACTGCATAACATAACTACAATATGACCAGATATATACATACATGCTGACACTGAGAAGAGCATGACAAATGTTTAATATATACACATGATGAACATCAGTAGCCTATTTTAAATACAATATATTTTATCTGTAGGATAAGGCCACCAGACATACACTCTTAGAGAATCTCTGCTGTCTCACTGCACCCAATCAAAGCCAGATCAGACTCAGATCTGTGTATAAATAAAATATTTGCCTTTGGACACAACATGGAAAAAGTGGATGTGTGTCTGGAGGCATAACAACTATTTGCAATTGTTTCTTAAACCTGTGGAGAACTCCAGGAGACCCAATGCATTTGCTTATTCTGGGTTTTCTTCTGGACCCTATTTCGTATTGTACATTTAGGGTTAGGGTTAGTGGAATGGAGAAATAACCAACGTGGTCTCATCACATCAATGCTTTGCAGTCTCTTTGTAACTTACTCTGTACCCTTGGTGTTACTTTGGATTAGGCAACAACACTACTTGGTGATGTTAAAAGAAAAAGGTTAATTGTTTGGGTTAAATTAGGAGTAATTTATGTAATGTAAATGGGTGAAATATGTGACGTTGGTTAAGTATGTTATAAGTTTTCCTACGTGCATAATATATAGTAAGATTAGTCACTTCTCTACGCGGACAGAGTTAAAGTGAGCTGTTGTCTAACCTATTATTGTTGTGGATTGGTTTACATGAATTCACATTTTGTAAGCATGGTGCTGATACAAACACTTAAGGGTGCTGCAAGAGCATTCACCAACAAAATAAAACTGTACTGAAAGCTGCTTGGCAAAATCTGTGCGCTCAAACATGGGTGGCAACCCCTTCATACCACTACAGTCATGCATGGGTGGGGGGGGGGGAAGCAGCTATGGGTGTGGGTATTAAACGTTGAGCGGCGTTACAAAGTGTCAGTATTTGACAACCTGAGAAAAAGACAACTGCTATTCTGAATGTTGTTCAGAGGAGGAAATCAAAATGCAAAGGGCATAACCATGTCATGGTTCAAATTTAGATTTTGCTTATCTGTGAGTAGCTTGCAAGTTTTTGTCATGATCAAATATTTGCGACAGAATGGAAGTAGGAAAACTGCTTTTGCTAGGTATGGAGGAGACATACAAAATAAATAAAAGTCTTGATGTGTTGGGTGAGGCTTAGGTGTTGGTGCTGGGTGTTACACTAGTAGATTGCTGTCCATTCGCTTTCTGAGGGACATCACGAACCACAGGAAGATGAATAAACCTGAGTCAAATAAGTGAAGAGAAAAGTGAGAGGATCATGCAAAACATGCAAATACCCTGATACACTTTATAACTTTGTCATGTAACTGTTTGTCAATATACACATATTCTACATGTCAGACCAATATCCATTACACATAAAATATCAATACATTGTCTCATATGCACAATATTTTGTTGCTGAAATTTGAGTAATCTAAAGATACAGTTTATGGTGAAGTTCTCCATGCAGCTGCACACGTGTTTCCATTCCCAAATTGCCCTGTATGGTCTGGCATGGATCAAACATTACGGTCCCTGCTCTTAACCACGTTAGATTGGGAGTTAACATGTGTATCAACTATGTTCAGCTTTAGTTCCCCATCCTAATAGTCAAACCAACAGGATCAACTTTGCAGAAACAACGAGTAGTGTCATTGAAATATACAACCAATATTAACATGTGCTGAACATGATCAGGTGGTGCAGACCTTGCAGTGAGTTGAGGATGCAGAAGAGGTAGAGGCCAGGCGTGGTCAGGTAGCCAAAGGAGAAGAAGACCAGGCCCCAGGTAATGCCCAGCAGAGCGGTGACTCCCAGCAGCGTACAGATGTCCTTCTTGGCTCTGTTACTGTCACTCTGCTCAAACTGACTCACAAAACAAAGTATACAATGACACATCAGCAGGTCATAGAAAAGTGTGTCCTAAAACCTGGAATTGATTCAGCAATTTACCCCCTTCTTGTTCCCTGTTTTTTTGTATGTACTTTTCGTAAGATGCCTGAAATAACCTTTGTGATTATCACAAGCTTAAGACAAATTTGTGTTTCATCCTAGCACATTAAATACGTCAGTAAATACCCCACTGGTGATCTTCTGAAACTTTTATTTGACTAAATCAGACTTCTAAGCCATGCAACCTTGTTTTTTACATTTATAACCTAATGTTAATAGCCTAAAGTGTATGGCAAGCCAATTTAGTTTTTATTCATTTCTGGAGGATATCAAAAAATAAATTCTTACTAGTAAGAATGCAAATTCTTGATATACAAAATGCAATTCTTACTAGTGATAATGTTTATTTCTGATATCAAAAATGTAATTTTAACTAGTTCGAAAGTGAATTCTTGATATCAGAAATTCAATTGTATCTAGTTGTAATGTGTATTTCTGATATCAGAAATGCGATTTTAACTAGTGAGATTTGCATCGTTTTTCTTATTCATTTCAATGGGAGTTGGAATTTGAACTAGTTCAAATGCCAATTTCTGATATCAGTAATTCAAATGTTACTAGTTACAATTACATTTGAACTAGTAAAAATACCAATTTCTGATATCAAGAATTCAATTTGAACTAGTTGAAATGCCAATTGTTGATATCAAAAATACAATTTGAACTAGTTCAAAATCCTTTTTTTGATATCAGGAATTCAATTGTAATTAAAACTGCGGTCACAGAAGTGCGCGCAGTGATGAGCGGGCCCTCGTGTCCGTGCGCCTGTCGGGGAGGGCAGCCAGTCGGTTCGGCATCAAGCCGACGCGCGCGAGTCCTCCAAAACGAGCCGTTTGTCATTTCTCTCATTTTCGCGTCCCACACTCCTCGGTCCTTCGGCAGCGACCCGGAAACGGATGTCGGCCCGCTGTCTCGAAGGAAAACAAATTTTCGCTAAAGGCTCGTCGAGATAATCATCGATTATCGAGGAGGCTGTCTGGAGGAGCCGTAACAGAGGATACACTGATTTAGAGGAGAGAGGAGTCTCATTGGAGGAGCTATAACCGAGGGTACACTGATGTATTCTACGGAGTCGATTTCAGCCAACAGTGATGTTTAAAAGAGGCGTGACGCATGGCTGGATACAACTTATGTCAACAAAGCATAGCTGTGCAAACTGTTTGTGTTTGTTGTACATTGTGTAGGTGTGTGTATGTGTGTGTGAGAGTTGATGTGCCGGGCAGACAGGCGGGTCTCAGTAGCTTAAGGTAGTATCTGACATATAAATGGTCAAATATGGTACATTCTCCGTTAGCCTACGAGCTCCGCGTTCAAGCGATCGACTATTCCTTCGCAATGTCGCATCACTTTGGATATGCGCTTAAATTGTCCTGGATTGGAATTTTTCCAATCATTTCCCTAGGAGGAATTTACAAAAATGTGCTTAAAATGCATAAAAAACGGAAAAAAAATTAAATGGCAGACTTCCTGGGGGGCGGGGCTAATGGAAGGCAATGTGAAATATGTGTGCAATCATAATAGCAATGTGTATACAGCGTTACGTGAATATCGGAAAAACTATATGCGAGTAGTTTGGAGTAATTTGTAGTAATATGCAACATGTAAATCGTCAAAAATGGTATATTCTCCGTTAGCTTACGACCTCCACGATTGAGCTATCAAAAATTAGCTTCACGATTTAGGATCATATTGGATAGGGACTGAAGTTGTCCTGGATTCAGTGGTGGCGCCAGGGTATGGCTGGGGTAGGCTACAGCCATACCAAGAAATGGCTTAGCCCTACCTTAGCCCCACCATGACAAATTATGTTGTTGCAGGAAGTCTCGATGGAGAATACTTTTGCGGTAGTACATCTCTATATAGCCAGGGTTGGGAGGGTTACTTTGTAAATGTAATCAGTTACTGATTACAGAAAACATGGCTCTGAAAGTAATCCGAATACAGTTACAGTTACGTGTCTTAAAAACGTAACCTGATCAGATTACTTTTATATTACTTTTGGATTACTTTATTTTTCCATCACAGATGGGTATGTTTTGGTGGAGGCCCAGGCCCGGACTGGCCATCGGGAGGACTGGGAGGTTTCCCGATGGCCTGGCCTGTTAAGTAGCCTGAGGATTTTTTTTTATAAGTATGTATTGTGAACGCAACGCTGCGCAAATGTGGGTCTGACTCTGCCTCACAGAGGGTGACTGGCTGTCTACATGATGTGGCCTGCCCACATGGCCACTTTCATACAGATCATACACTAATGCCCTCGATTGGTCTCTGTGTGTCATTCAAGCTCGGGAGGGTGTGTGTGTATGTGTGGCGCGAGCGAGAGAGAGAAAGCGTGCGCACCGGTTGTTGTTGTTAGCATCTGGTGCTAGCTAGCTGCGCTAAAGGATATAAGGAGCTGTTTCAACAACAAGGTGGGGGAGAGTCCTCTGCTGTCAGACTGAGAGGCTGATAACTACAGCTCAGGTGAGGTGAAGGACTCTGAGTGTTTACTGTTGAGAGCTAAAACTAGTCTTTGCTGCTGCCTCAAAGAGGAGCAGGGGGAGAGGAGGGAGACAGGAGAGGCTGATTAAGGAGCCTGGACACACTCACACATATAAATGAACCAAAGACAAATAAATATACAAATTTCAATGTGTTTTCATATTGGATATGGTATGTTATTGGTTATGGCCATGTCCTTATGATTTTATGATTATTTAAATGTATACAGTTCTGTTTCATATG